TAATCTGTCAACTGCACCTCAGAATTATAAAGGCCTCAATCATTCAAGTTCAGCTCAGAGTTCTAGTTTTTTAGCTCAACCATCTTAGAATTTTTCCCAGAGTTCTGGTGATCTCTATCAGGCACATTTTGCTACTCAAGTTGTACCTTTTTTTGTTCACATGAACAATGTTGGTTCATGTGTGACAAACACATCATTTCCAGCTTCATCACAGTCATCAAATCTAACATTTGGTAGTCCTAATATGACAGTCTGATAGCTTCCCATCCACTCCCCAAGACCCTATCTGGTACATGGACTCGGACCACGGATCATGTAACTTCTGATCTGTCTCAGCTGCATGCTAGTCAAGATTATGATGGAACTAGTCAACTTCAAGTCGGAAATGGTGAATTTTTACATATCACTCATACTGGTTTTACTTTGTTACCTAGTCAATTGCAAACTAAGTGTCTTTATTTAAAAAAATGTCTTTGTGTTCGAATAACTAAAAATCTTCTTAGTGTATCCAAATTCACCAAAGACAATAATGTTGTAGTGGAATTTAATTCGGATTGCTGTGTTGTCAAGGACAAAGTCACCAAGGCAATTTACTACAAGAAGAGCTTAATGCAAGCCTATATCAGTTGGTTCTTCCCTCTCAATTCTCATCCTCTCTGTTTTTCAAATCTGCCTGCCTTACCAAAGAATAGTTCTTACACTGCATCAATCTCTTCTGAATCTTCAATAAAACATACTGATTATCTAAAGATAGTTTTTTCAAATGTACCTTCCAAAGATCACACGTCTACTATTTTGTAGTCTTCTAATATTCAATCTGATGCATTAGTACTAGTATACAATAAAGCACTCTGTTTGTCCCTCAAGATAGTTCAATTTCAGTTGCATCTCTCAAGGATAAATGTCTACTGATTTTGCATGCTCTACTAATCAAACTAAAGTGTGCAATGCTTGTGATAATTGTGTTAAACTTATTTCTAGTTGCAATGCTACTGCGTGTACTGTTACTAATGCCATCACTACTAACTTGGTTGCTCCTATTGCATTTCTATATATAATCCTGAATGCTTGCTGTCTTACATACTTGATCATACATTCTCTAAGGTTGCACATCCTATTGTATATCATTCATTTGCTTTGCTAATACTCATAATCATAGTTCCATGATCTAGCATAAAGGTTAGGCCACCCTCACTCAACTGTTTTTAAGAAAATTGTCCATCATAGATTCAACTGACTCAACTTTATCCAAACCTATTTCTACAATGATTTTTGTGAGGCTTGTCAATTACGTAAAATGCATCAAAACAGCTTTCCTGCTTCCACTTCTAGAGTCACTACACCCCTTGAATTAGTACATAGTGATATTTGGGGACCTTCTCCCTTGGCATCATCAGAACGATTTAAATATTATGTTCAGTTTCTTGATGATTTCAATAGGTACACCTAGCTATTCCCCTTAGGACCAAGGCTGAGGTTAAATCCATCTTTATAAATTTCATCATTTGGTTGAACGACAGTTTAATTACAAATTAAAATGTCTTCAATTTGATCAAAAGGTGAATTAAGAGTCTTATACCCTATCTAACCATTGAAGGCATTCAATTAAGGCACTCATGTTCCTATGTCATTAACAAAATGGCCGTAGTGAAAGAAAATGCAGACACATAGTTGAAACTGGCTTGACTCTATTTGCTCATCCATCCATGGCTTTATATTTTTGGTGGCTTACATTTGAAACTGCTGTATATTTTATAAACAGAATGCTCTCATCGGTTTTGAATTATTCCTTCCTTATTAGTTTTGTTTCATAGGAATCCAATTTATATTACATTAAAGGTGTTTGGCTGTGCTGTTTTCCTTTTTTGAGAGTCTTTAACAAACACAAATTTGAATTCTTCTAAATGTGTGTTTGTGGGTTTAACTTAGTTCACAAACTATTTAAATGTTTAACCTCTGCAGGAAAAATAATCATTACACACTAGTGTTAATTTATGAGACTGTTTTTCTTTCTCCATTGGTTTTCTTAATTCTTCTGTCTCTTTAGAACCTTCTCTAGATAGTGGCTTTCTCTAACACTCCAACCAATTCTTTTTTTTCTCTTGGCCTGTTAACAACTTCTCTGTGTATCTGTTCTCAGACTAAGTCCTTTCATCACATGTCTACATTGATATTCCTATTGCATCTCATTGTCCTACACACATGTCTAAACTGTCACACCATCTCATTGTTCTCCCATGTGTCTAAAACTACTACACTGGATTTTTCTACTCACTTTTAGTCCTTATCCTTATTACCACAAGTCAATGTGCCTACTGTACCCATTATTCTAAACCCGTGCCATCTCTACTTCATGCTTCTCTTCTCATTTCACCATTAATCTCATTGCTATAACACTTCACATACATTCACTCCATTTCAGAATTTGCCATAGAAATTCCAAAATCCCTATCATATCATCCTCTCATAACCTCTACTTCCATATCAGAAAATACTTCAGAATCTTTCTTGCATTCTCCTCAATCTATACCTTCAGACCATTCACTTTCTACTTGCCCTCTTGAGTTGATCTGTTTCAGCAGCAGTCCTTTGTATCTTCTGAACAGTCAGGGTGTTTTCCTAACATTCATCCCATGATACTAGAGCAAAATTAGCAACTATGGCTAAAGATAAAGCAATTTCTTAGCTCACAATGCCTGCTCAATCAGTACACTTTCCTGTTCCAAACCACTGTCGTCTTTGCAGCTTTGAATTCACCTGAGTGGAAACATGCTATCAATTGAATTGATTCCTTGCTAGCTAATGGTACCTGGTCCCTTGTACCTTTCACATATGATATGCATGTGTGGGAAATAAATGGGTCTTTAGAACCAAATTTAATGCTAATAGGACATTACAAAAGTACAAAGCCAGTAGTTACAAAGGGGTTCCACAAACGGCTAGGCTAGATTACTTTGAAACCTTCAGCCCTATTATCAAGCCTTTTACTTTCGTATTATTCTCATCTTAGCTGCCACTTATAATTGGGATTTCAGCAAATCGATGTAAATAATGCTTTCCTCAATGGTGATCTTCATGAACAGTTTATATGCTTCAACCTTCTGGTTTTATTGATTCCACCAAGTCCACTTTTGTGTGTAAACTCCATGAAGCCCTTTATGGTCTAAAGCAAGCCCTAGAGCCTAGTTTGATAGTTAAAAGAAGCTTTGGTTTGCAAAGGCTTCCATAACTCCATTTTGAATACTAGCTTGTTATGCACAAACAAGGAGGCCATGTTACTTACATTCTTATATATGTGAACGATATTTAATTATTGGTTCTGATAGTGCATTTGTCCATCAATGGTCAAGAATCTTAAAGATCGTTTTTGCTCTTAAGACACTTGGAGCTATTAATTATTTTCTTGGATTAGAAGTGACAGAAAATCCTGGAATTCATCTAAGCAGTCCAAGTATGCTACAGACTTGCTGTCCAAACTCAATGTCTAAAGCTCACCCTTGTGCTACTCCTATAGCTCTAGGCCTAAATTGTCCGCTAAGACAATCTCTCTTGATAATCCTAGTCTTTACTGAAGTACTATAAGAGCTTTGCAATATTAGCACTACCAAGCGACATAAGCTTTGTAGTCAAGACTAGCCAGTTTATTCAAGCACCCACTATTCTACAGTGAATAGGCCTGTAAAAGGGTTTTGCGATTACCTCAAAGGCACACTTAATCATGGATTATTGTTTAGACTAGCAGTCTACCTTGCATCTTGAGTGCTATGTTGCGATTGGGCTAGCATCTGAAGACAAACGGTTGTACTAGTGGAGGATATGTTGTATCTGTCTAACCTTATCCAGTGGAGCTCTAAGATGCAGAAGGTGGTAGCATTGTCCTCCACTGAGGCGAGTATAGAGCATTAGCCCACACAGCCACTGAGTTCCTGGTTACAAAGCCTTTTGCAGAAGTAGGATTACACTGATCAATTTCCTATCATTTGGTGTGAGAATGTAAGTACTGGTGTGTTGGCTGCAAATCCAGTCTTTCATGTTTGCACTAACACATTGAAATAGATGTTCACTATATACGAGAATAGGTGCTTGCCAAGAAACTTAAAGTGCAATATGTTCCTCTAAACTTCAGATTGCTGACATCCTGACCAAGGCATTGTCACAGCTCAGTTTAGTGAACTAATAGCAACTGAATGAATAGCAGCTGATGCAAAAGATGACAATACGATAATTTGTTCAAAGTCACTGCTACCTAATAATTATTGTTCACTACTTTAAATGTCTTTGAAGTTTCGCAGTTTCAGTTTCTACTTGGAGAACTGAAGATTTTTCTATCTGAAGCACTACATTACCTGTTTGTCTGGAGTATTACAATACCTGCTGATTTTGAGTACTGATTGAGTTTTTGGAAGTATTGTAAGCTACTCATTGGATGGATTCTAAAATTAGCTTCTGCAATTAGCTTATGGTTGCTGAGCGTTATTTGTGTTAACTAAGATTGTTTGGTGATGAGCTCAGTTGTCAATGTTCTCTGAAGTATGCTTAATGTGTCCTAAAGCTACTATGGTTACTGAAGGTGTTTGTGTTTATCAAAATTGGTTGCTGAAGTTGTTGTGTTAACTAAAATTGGTTTGGTGATGAGCTCAATTGTTAATGTTCTTTGAAATATTGATTAATGTGTCCTAAAGTTCTATGGTTACTGAAGGTATTTGTGTTTCCAAAATTGGTGATGAACAAATAGCTTGTTTTCGTTCTTTACTTGTTGGTTTGTTGAACTGCTGAATCTAATATAGTGAAATTGTTGGTTCTGAAGTTTGAATTGGCATATGGTGAAAGTAGTGAACAAATGAGTTAAACTTGTTGATTAATGATGAAGTACTGATATCTGCATATGGTGAAGTAGTGAACAAATAAGTTACTTTAATGCTGAGTACTAAATCTGGCATATGGTGAAAGTAGTGACAATGTTAAACACTTGTTGGTTGCTGAAGTGCTAAATCTGAAATATGGTGAAATTGGTCAACATTGTTGCCATATTGAAATGTTGGAAACTTTGTCAACGTTGCTGCTCATTGAATGCTGGAAGTTTATTATTTACCTTTATATTTTTGTTTACTTCATTATGTTGTAATTAGTATGTTAAATCAATGATAAAGCAAAGTTTTGTGTGTCAAGCTAAAACTAGAACCCAGTTTACGTAAGGGGGGATGTTGGATATAAAAAGTGTAGGATGTCTCTGTTTCTCCTAAGCGGTGTCATTTTGTTAAAGTGGTAGTGAAGGACTATGCGACGTCATTTGTAAGTATAATGGGTAGTTAAAAGTCAGTCCTTATACTTATTATTGTGGTTCATTCAGTTCAATGAAAATTTCTAGAATCACTTCGAAGCTTTCTCTAAATTCATTCTAACTTCATTCTTCATTAGTGAATCCTAACAACTCACATGTATGTGCCTCATGTTATGTAAGTGATCGTCTTTGCGTAGTGGAAAAACGCATTTTAAAACGAAAAAGATAACTTACACATCCCAAAACCTGGGCACAAATTATATGTTTGCATGCAAAACTTAAAGTGTATAAAACAAATCTGCAAAAATAAACAACCCATACAAGGCATCGAAAAACACTTACGCACATTGGAGGCTTCTCCAAATATCTTTGGGTCTGATTTTGCTACTCGATTCAACGTAGAGAAATGCACTCACGCTGTCCACACAAGACAATCTATAGAACCCTGATTATTTTGCTAAAAAACCAAGGGCTTCAAGAATTAAGGAAGATCAAGAGAAAAAGAATTTTTCTTTTGACTAAGAGAGTGAAAAATGTGAGAGAGGTTTTGGGTAGCTAGGGTTTTTTCTTTATTTTTGTAAAATTCTCTTTTGCTTTAATTTGAAGTTGCACTTATATAGTACAACTAATTAAAACCCTATTCTAAGGAATAGTCATGGGCACCAACACAAACTCACCCTTGCAACAAAACACCTATTATTAGTAAAATCAATTATATATATATAACATTAATTATAATGTTCATTTAAATCTACTATTAATATATATTCAAATATAACTCACTAATTTTAATATTGATATAAAATTAAACATAGACAACAATCTCAGTAAATATTAATTGGACTGTGAGATTACCAAAACCCTCTGCGTCCTAAAGAAAAAAATACCCCTTCATAGACTATTCTTAATTGTCTTCTAAGTGTGTGACCCATATGCTCTCACATACGGCAGTGAATAGTATTGCGATACTCTAATTAATCGTCTCATTACATACAGACCAATAGTGACCCCTAGCAAGGCATCATGGCTACTCGATAGATTGGATTCAACGAATTGCAACCTGTCAACGGTATGGTTACTTTGCAATCAAATCTTTCATCATCTGTTATATCATCGAGGCTGAGGTACAGAAATAGTGTCAACCTCAGATATCCTCGATATGTTTTTATTCATTATTGGACAAATGACAGGAATATTCAATTGGATTTTAGCAAAACTCAATCTCACTATGGCCAACGATTTAGTGTCATTGCCATTATGAATTACTAGTGAGATAACTTTCCCGTACCAAGGATTGAATCCTTTGTCGATCCACCATAGTCTCGATTATTTCTCAATGTAGCCAATCACTACCGTATTGATAGCTCTGATAGACCTACGTTGGGCTAGTATCAAACTACACTAACTTGGTGACACAAGACGCTCTGGTGATCTCAAGTCTAGGATCACATGTCACCACCATCTGTTAGACGAATTATTCCATAGACACAAGGGTTACCATCCATATGGAATCCTCTAGTGGATTCTCCATGATTGCTAACAAAATACGGTGTTGCACCAGGTACCGAAAAACAACCTGACAAATGAGATCAATCGTTGTCTTTCGACAAGGTCGTTCAATACTATGATAGCCTTACCGTATTATGTGTCCTTGATCAGAATAATACTAAGGCTAGACATTTTTAGAATAGCATATAAGTGATCATAGGGTCTCACTAATCAGATTTGAAACCCTTGATACCTTGTCACGGGTCACCATCCTAAGAACATATCATCATACTATAACTATGATTTATACGATATAGTAAATATGCCTTTTATTGATAAATAAGCTCTTATTACAAAGTCAACTTTACAATAATTATGAGTGCTCTAGAGTGCCTACTCTAACACCTCATTAATCAGTATTAATTCAGGGAAAATGCCTATGGATTAGAAACAATAAAATATTGACACAATTCTACACATTTGATTAATTAGTATCTTATACAGTACTAGAAATGAGCATTTTTGGTACTGTAAGATATATAGTACATGTATATGTATTTTGTTTCTTACCTAAATTCAAATCAATAGTAGATATTTATAATTTAAAAGGTTGCTTTGAATATCATTATAAATTATGCATAAAACATTCTTTACAAATTAATTGTGTATATGCGAACGTGACTCCTCATTACAACAACAACAGAGTTAACGAAACCGTGATAATGAAGGCAACTTGTCAACAGTGGGTATAATTGTATACAAATTAGCTCCTACTTCTCCTCCTCCTTTAGGAGAGATTAGAGAAAGCCCTGAATTTATTAAACCTCACGTCAACGCTTAATTTGGCCAATCATCCAAATATTGGTTTCTCATCACAATGATCAATTGTATTCTACTTCACTTAATATTAATACTGAGTTGGTGTCAAGCTCAAATTAACCTTTTATTTACTATCTTCTGTCAAAGTTTCAAAAGTGTTCTTCACGCTAAACCTAATTTAAAAACAAAATAAATGCCAATATGGATGGATGTGTTGACGCAGCGAGTTAGCTTAAAAACAGAGGCTAACACACGGCTATGCCTTTAAGTTTGATAAACAAGTCTCATCACGTAAACTAATTCGTAAAGTTCGAAAGAAAAATCTGAAATTCATTCTATCATAAAGAAACAAATAATATGTTTAATAAGGTGGTGCAGCAACCGTAACAAGACTTCCAAATAAATAAAGAAAATAAAATCCTAATTAAATACAAAAATTAATTAAAGAAGAATCCTCATTTGTACTATTAAAATAAGAAAGAACTCTTAAATAAAATAGGAAAAAACACTCAGAAAACTTAAACGCAACCCGAACACGCCAAAATCGTGAAATTTTGCCTTGAAAACGACTACCAATTGGAGTATCCAGTTGATCATGACTTGAGCTCGAAAAGAGATTTCGTTGATATTTTACGGGCCCTGTTAATCCTCTCGGTATAAAAAGTTATGACTGTTTTAAGTGACATGTCATTTAGACCTTTGGATCGTGCATGTGAGCTTCTGACGCCCAATCGCTCCCCAAAAATCATCTGATGACATTCTACATCATGTGTTTAAACATACTTGTTTATATTACTTTTGTAATTATATTTCCATATAGAACAAGTAAAAATTACCATTACAGCATAAAGGACGAGATTATAGACTTTGCAATTGAACAAAGTTAATTTATAGCAATGTGGGGTAAGGTCTTGAGTTTGTGCAACTGAAAACTAGAGTGATCACTTAATTTATATCAAAACTTTACAATAACACATGTTACCTTTTGTTGTTTGGTTACTAATTAAGATACATTATGGAATAAAAGGTTCGTTAACTTAAGTCCTAAACCATGAAAGTAATGAAGTTAACAAAGCCGCACATAGATATGGTGTGTTGAATTTATTATATAGAGGCTGAATTAAGTTATTTGGAATTATATATATATGTCACTAACAAGTACTGTTAACGTGCATACAGTTAATGAGAATAGGCCTTAATCTCCATAATCATCAACTAATTAATTATAGTTAAGTACGTAATCCAGTCGGATAGTACATAACACTATAATAAATATTGACTATACTGACTAATTAATTTAGTAAAAAGGCAGTGCATTAAATATAATAAATATAATAGTCAGCCTTGGCTGTGCATTAGGAGTTACCAAAGAAAATACGTTTTACGAACATTTTCAATAATGATTTATTTTAAAGAGTACTTTTTATATAAATAAAAGATATTTCATGATTTTTTAAATATAACGAACAAAATTTTATTCAATCCAATAACTTTTAAGTTTAGGAGAGGAATATGTTTTTCAAGAAGACTTAATAGGAGAGATAATTATATAAAATGCATAAAAACTTAATTTTTATTTAAATTGGGATAAAGAGTGAGTTTGAGAGAGTCAAACTACTCTTTAATTTATATGTAAAAAATAGAGTATCTTACAAGATTTTTATATGTTCCAACTTTATTATAATGAATTTATCCATAGAAACACAGAGTCTAATAAATCTTTATTCTTTAAATATAAAAGTTAAAGAGTGAGTTAACTCTCCACATTAGAGAGTCCAATTTCACTTTCCATTCTAATTTTAAATAATAAATTGTAAGTTTTTATACATTTTATTTATGATTATGTCTTATATTAAATTCTTTCTTAAAAAAAAATCAGATTCTCTCTCCTAAAATTAAAGAGTCTATTGGATTGAATAAAAATTTGTTCTTTATATTTAGAAATAAATGAAAATACTTTTATTGAAAAAGTGCTTTATATTAGAAATCAATTAAAATCTTTTTTATTTATATGAAGAGTGCTCTCATGGGATGTTTTCTAATAGACTAAGAATTAGTGTGGGCGCTGTTTTCTTCGGATTTCCTTTACCAATTAATCTTTCTTCAAATCTACTTTATTCCTTCTTATCCAATGCAAACAACTGTAGATAATATTTATGCTTTTCTGTATAAATAGCTGAACGGTTTCTACTTCATTCCCACCAACTCATCCTAACTATAACCGTCATCAACTTCTTAATTAGCTTATCATCAGATCTCTTTCACTTGCATCTCTTTATTCGGCGAAAATGGCGATCAGGTTCTTTAGTACTCATCTTTACTGGTCTCTTCTCATTCTCTCTATTTACTTACACGCATCAGATGCAACACAAAACTATAATGTGTTAAAGTTCGGAGCCAAAGGCAATGGTGTAACAGACTCCACCCAAGCATTCATCAAAGCATGGGCAGCAGCCTGTGGTTCTGAAGAATCAACAACAATTTATGTGCCAAAAGGAAGACATTTGCTTGGCTCTATGGCATTTAAAGGTGACTGTAAAAATTCGGATATTACAATACGCATTGACGGAACACTAGTAGCTCCATCAGATTACCATGTATTAGGTCAATCTGATAATTGGCTGAGCTTTGAAAGGGTTAGCGGTGTTTCCATCATCGGTGGAGCACTGGATGCCAAGGGAACTGCGTTGTGGAATTGCAAGGCTAAAGGCACTAATTGTCCAAATGGAGCCACGGTACATTATTACATAACTTTGCTAGTTAATTTGCTTCAACTTTTAGTTTTAATTATTTTTATTTTAAGATGTCTCAATTGGTGAAATCTGTTGTGTGTGAGTGCAGACATTGAGCTTTACCAACTCAAACAACATCAAAATCAATGGACTTTTATCACTAAACAGCCAGATGTTCCACATTGTGTTCAACGGTTGTCAAAATGTGCGTGTTGAAGGAGTTAGAGTCATAGCTGCCGTAGATAGCCCCAACACAGATGGTATTCATGTCCAATTATCTCGAAATGTTATGATCAAGAGCTCCTCCATCAAAACTGGGGATGATTGCATCTCAATTGGCCCTGGCACTAAGAATTTGTGGGTTGAACGTGTTACATGTGGCCCAGGTCATGGCATTAGGTACTTTTCAATCATACATTTTAATTTATTTGAAGCTACCTTTTATAATAACACTTCTCTACTACAAATACAATGATAATTAACATCAAGAGTGGGTGTCGACCTTTTGTTTAATTTGCAGCATTGGGAGTCTAGCTAAGGATATGGACGAGGAAGGAGTACAAAATGTGACAATTAAAAATACAACTTTCATAGGTACTCAAAACGGGTTGAGGATAAAGTCATGGGCTAGACCGAGCAATGGATTTGTTCAAGGCATTCGGTTCATAGATGCTGTTATGCGAAATGTCCAAAATCCCATTATTATTGACCAAAACTACTGCCCTCATGAAAGATTAATAGCTGAATTGAAAAGAGAACTGAAGTAGTGAACGAATTAAGAGAGAAAAGAAAAGAAAAATCTGTTTCAAGTGTTCTGTTATTGAAAATTGGTAAAGCAGATCAGTTACATACGACTTTATTAGTCTGTTACAACTTTTGTTTCTTTACAAAAACAACCCTACTCAACTTCTAATCTGTGCAGAAACAACCCTGCTTCTTATACTTATTCCAATATCTTCCTGTAAACCAAAGCCCCTGAACTGATTTAGTTAATATTTCTTGATCAATATCTTCCCGTAAGCCAAAGGCCCTAAACTGACTTTATTACTCTTTCTTAATCAATATCAATATCAATATCATTCATTCCACTGTATCACAAAATAGCAGATTTCATTCCACTGCATCACAAAACAGCTTTCATTCCACTGCATTTCACTGCATCACAAAACAGATTTCATGTTGCAGAGACTCCAAACCATATCTGCTTCCTGCAAACTCTTACAACTTCACAAATCTGAAAAATTCCACTGCATCACAAACAACAACCAAACTGCAACATTCCATNAATGTCCACTGAATTTAGTTTTCCTAAACCTTCTTGTAAGCATTTGGGTGAAAGATCATGGTAAATTCCCTTTCTCCGAGTTTCACAAAAGTAAAACCCCCACATGGAGAACTAATTAAACTTAAAAAGCTACAGATTTATACATGCTTGCATCAGTATATAGGAAACATTCATGCTTGTTAAAAGTTTGCACCTTTGCAACAGTGAGCCCAATAGGGCAAGGCCGATGTGGAGAACGTGTAGCAAAGACTCCCATCCTTTCATCTTTTAGTCTTGGTACTCTCACCTGGGCATAAAGCCAACTTTTTATAGACATTTAAAGATGGTAAGAAACAATTGTTTATACCAAAGTACAGTACTGCCTACCTTAGCCATGGACGTTAACAGCCATAAATGGCCATGGATCTGGCAGGAGATGGCCAGATCTACGGCCATTTTCTGGCCATATTGGCCACTGACGGCGATTTCCAACAACTTTTGGTGGTGGTAGGCGACAGCCAGCAGCTGGCGGTGGTGGCTAGGGGCCGGCAGTGGCGTGTGGTGGGTGGAGATGATTTTTTTACAAATTAAAGTTTTATATAAGATGTGGTATTTTAGCTAAATCTGAAATGTTGGGGATTAAAAGAAATTATTCAAAAATTAATAAAAAATAATAATATTATATTAATATTAAAAAATAAGGGTAATTTAGTCATTTATAAAATATATCCACCAATTTATTCTCTAAAACAAAACATATTAATATAACATATCCACTAATTTATTGTAACTAACTAAAAGATTAATAGCGGAATTGAAAAGAAAATTAAAGAAGTGAACGAATTAAGAGAGAAAAGAGAAAAATATGTTTCAAGTGTTCTCTAATTGAAAAATTGGTAAAGCATATCAGTTACAGACGACTTTATATAGTCTGTTACATTTGTTCATAAAACGCACCGTGTGGTACCAACTTTTGTTTCTTTACAAAAACAACCCTACTCAACTTCTAATCTTTGCAAAAACAACCCTACTTCTTATATTTATTCCAATATCTTCCCGTAAACCAAAGCCCCTGAACTGATTCAGTTAATCTCTCTTGATCAATATCTTCCCATAAGCCAGAGCCCCTAAACTAACTTTATTACTCTTTCTTAATCAATATCATTCATCACAAACAAAAAATTTGCAAAATTCCACTGCAAAATTTCCACTGCATTCCACTTGTATCACAAAACAAATTTCATTCCACTGCATCACAAAACAGCTTTCATTCCATGGCATTTCACTGCATCACAAAACAAATTTCATTCCACTACATCACAAAACAGATTTCCTGCTGCAGAGACTCCAAACCATATCTCCTTACTGCAAAATCTTACAGCTTCACAAACAACAAAACAAGTTTCTGCAAACTAAAAAATTCCACTGCATCACAAACAACAATAAATTTTTGCAAACTGCAAAATCCCACAGCATCACAAACAACAAACAAACTGCAACATTCCACTGCAAAATCCCACAACATCACTGCATCACAAACAACAATAAATTTCTACAAACTGCAAAATCCCACAGCATCACAAACAACAAACAAACTGCAAAATTCCACCGCAAAATCCCACAGCATCGCTGCATCACAAACAACAATAAATTTCTACAAACTACAAAATCCCACAACATCACAAACAACAAACAAACTACAAAATTCCACTGCAAAATCCTACAGCATCACTGCATCACAAACAACAATAAATTTCTGCAAAATTCCACTGCATTCCACTGCATTTCCTGCTGCAGAGACTTCAAACCATATTTACTACTGCAAATTCTTACTGCATCACAAACAAATATTTCTGCACAAAATCCTACTACATTACAAACTATATCTCCTGACTACTGTGAACACTGGTTACAAGCTCAGATGTGACAGTTAGCTTCTCCCTTAGCATAGCAAACCGTGAACAAGGGAGGGGTTTAGTTAGGATATCAGCTATCTGATATTCAGATGAAACACATTACACATTTAACAACCTTTTTGTAACTAATTCCCTAACAAAATGTACATCAATTTCGATGTGCTTTGTTCGGGCATGAAACACCAGATTTGAGGATAATGCTCCAACACTCATGTTATCACACCATATGATGAGAGTGTTGTTTATATGAATGCCAAGTTCCTTGAATAAGTTCTGAATCCAAACAAGTTCAGTGGCTGTTTGACTAAGAGATCGATATTCAGCTTCTATAGAAGATAAGGACACTACCTTCTGTTTTCTAGATGACCATTGGACCAAGTTACCTCCAAGAAATACATTGTACCCACTGGTGGATCTCCTATCAGTTTCATCTCCAGCCCAATCAGCATCTGAAAATGCTTCTAAAGTAAAGGGTTGTTTCTTGGTAAAAAGAATATCATGCTGCAATGTTCCCTTGACATATCTGAGGATTCGTTTACATGCTGTCCAGTGAGCTTCAGTGGGCTGCTGCAAAAATTGACTGAGCTTGTTGACAGCAAAAGCTAAGTCTGGCCAACATAGTGTCAGATATTGAAGTCCACCAATGACACTTCTATATAGTGTAGGTTGTTTAAACACCTTAATATCCTCCTTGCCAAGTCGAAGACCAATAGCCATGGGGGTGGAACAGGGCTTCGAATCTGCCATTCCTGCCTTAAGAAGAAGATCATGTGCATATTTGGTCTGGGACAGCAATAAACCAGAATCATTTCTCTTTACCTCAAACCCCAGGAAGTACTGCACTGTACCAAGAGTTTTTAGAGCAAATTTGCTATTCAAGTCAGCAACTAAGCTTGATATGAGCTCAGAATCATTCCCTGTTACAAGATACACTAACAAATACATTAATTTGAAATCCTTTTTGTAAAAAAAACAAACTCACATCTGAAACAGAATTTTCAAAACCCCAACTGATCAAGGCAGATTTGAGTTTATCAAACCAAGCTCTAGGAGCTTGTTTTAGACCATACAAGGCTTTATGAAGTTTGCAAACCTGCTCAAGATGACCCTTGCCTGCTGCAGTACCAGAATATCCTTCAGGAGGAAGCATAAAGACAGTTTCAGTTAGTTCCCCATTCAGGAACGCATTATTAACATCCAACTGCTGGATTTCCCAATTTTGGTGCACTACATAGGATAACATGACTCTGATTGTGGCTGCTTTAACAACCGGAGAAAATGTGTCGAAATAATCTAGACCAGGTGTTTGTTGAAAGCCTTTAGCCACCAACCTGGCCTTATACTTTTGAAGTGTCCCATCAGAGTTTAATTTTGTTCTAAACACCCATTTGCATCCTACAACATTCATTCCCTTTTCATAAGGAACAATCTCCCATGTGTTATTGCTCATCAAAGCTTGATATTCAGAGTCCATGGCCTGTTTCCATTTAGGACCTAATAATGCTTCAATAACTGTTTTAGGTTCCGGAAGAATAGGAATAAGAGTAACTTCAGCTTGATAGGCAGTGGAACCAGGATAAGTGGCTGACTTTGATCTGGTGATCATGGGATGTGTGTTTAGAGATGAGATAGAAGGCAATGGAACAACTACTTCTAAGTTAATGCCAGGATGTGTTAAGTCTGATTCAAGGAAGGAGGAATCTGCATTTATAACTGATGTATCAGACTTATCCAGTTGAACTGATGATATGGGAGAAAGATTGGATGTAGCAGCAGGTTGAACAGGTTCTGAATTAGGTTGTAATGGTGATATTGGAACAGGATTGGATGAGGTAGCAGGTTGAACAAATTCTGGATCAGGAACACATTGGGGTGTGAAAGCAGGTTGAGAATAGTGTTCAGTAGGAGCAGAGTTGGATGAAACTGCAGGTGAAGTAGAGTCTGTACAAACAGGAACACTTTGAGGTAGGATCCATGAGCTACTAAAGGTGTTCAAACTAGGTTCAACAGGAGAGGTACACCTATGCATTGTGAGGGAACCAAAATCACCTTTGAAGGGAAAATCTGTCTCATTAAACTTGACTTGCTTGGCAATATACAATCTGCCAGTGGAGGCCAAACACAAATATCCTTTATGGGCAAGGTTGTATCCAAGAAAAGCACACTTCTTAGTGTGATAAGAGAGTTTGTGTCTGTGATATGGTCTCAAGTAAGGATAACAACTACAGCCAAAAACCTTCAATTTAATGTAGTTGGGCTGCTGCTTAAACAAAACAGAATATGGTGAGGTAGATTCAAGAATTGAGGTGGGTAATCTGTTTATTAGGTATGTGGTTGTGCTAAAGGCTTCCCACCAATACTTTAGTGGCATACTAGCATGAGCTAGAAGGGATAACCAAAATTCTGTAATAGTTCTGTGTTTCCTCTCCACTCTCCCATTTTGTTGGTGTAAATGTGGACATGGATGCCTAAATAAAATACCATTATGCTGTAAATAACCACTGAATGATCTATATTCACCTCCCCAATCAGTTTGTAGGCTCTTTAGTTTATAACCTAACTGTTTTTCCACAAAGCAATGAAATTG